AATCTTTCTTTTCTGCCGTTGCAACGGCAGAAAAGAAAGATTTATTCATAAGCAGATATCGCCTGTGTTGTGGAAGAAGTGTCACACCAGCATGCTGACTGGTTAAGAGTAGGCCAATCAGTGTTACGAAAGGAGCAAGTGGAGAGCTTACTTCGGCGAAAGGCTGCTTACGCTAGCCTACACACACCACCACCACCATAGGAGGCTTTTGTTGCTAAAATGGTTCTTCCTTTCATCATCCTCGAAGGAAGAGATATTTCTGGGACCAGGTTGTATTTTAGCTGACGTTTCAAAAGCCTTCTCGCTTCCATCGTCAGAGCGTGGTGACTGTTATCCTGCAGGTGTCAGTGTGTCTAACCGCTAGCCTGATTCCCGTGTGTCAATTGATCGAACCGATCGATTTTCGTGGCTGTTTGGATTGCTTGCTTTTGAAACGTCAGCTAAAACACAACCTGGTCCCGGAAATCGTTCTTTCTTCTGCCTCTTCTGGGGATGATGCAAGGAATATTATATCTAGACCTAGAATTTTCGCGCATATTAAAATGGTTCTGCAAATTGAGCTTGGGGACTTTAGTTTGTAATATCCGCGACAACACAAAGACCACAGCAGAAAAATGCTCCGGCCCACACAAGTGGCCACGTGTGTAAACTGGGTAAATCACTGTTACAGGGACGCGAGCGGCGATGCACCCAGGAACTATCGACTAGCTTACAAACGTGACGACCGCTCACAGCCTGGCAGACTATCGACCAGCTACAGGTCAGAACACCGGTCGCATGCTATAGGCCAGGAGTAATCGAGAAGGACCAGAGCCCTATAAATAGGCTGTATTGGACAAGTTAAAGATCTGTTGTCTCTGTGCTGTCCTGAAATAAAGCTCTTGCTATGAGAACCGGCTTTTTGCCTTCTTTCTGCCTACTTCTCGGGACATAACAATCACTATAAGCAGCAAACAAACTGCAAAGGGGATCACAGCAGCGTAAGCAGCTAGTAAGTACAACGTCTCAGCAGCAAGTATATAGTCCAAGAGTGAAGCTTAACTGTCAACGATCTTGAGGTGATGTTTCTAATCCAAACTAAGGGAGAACACGATCTTCCCTGAACTACATGGTATTGCCTGAAAACAAACCTCCTTCCTTTGTTCAGTGGACTTTAAGGAAAAATAGGTTTTACTCGATAAGCAGTTTGAGGATTATAACATGCATAGCCTAACCAGTCACGGAAGTGTTGACGAGCTACCGACTGAGCTACCGATTGCGTATCCGAACTTGCGAATGGGTCCTTTAAGGCGGAACACAGGAGCGTACTTTTTAGTTGAAGTTCCTCGGGATGACGAGTAATTTTGTGACAATTGAACCAATGCGGTAGAACACGAAAGCCACAACTTCGGTTTTAGAGCATTTAAATATTCTGTAAAGACGTAAACTCCCGAAAATTGGCCGGAAGCTTTGACTTTGTCGACAAAGTTTGTGTTGCCCTGCCAATTGGCATGGAACACGATTCTACCTCTATCCACACGCGGTGACTTTCCAGTAAGATTCTTCTTGCCACGAGTGATGCAGGCTTATTTCATAACATAGCAATCAACACCAGTTTTTTAGCGTTCGTTGCAATGTACACAAATTCTACACTTGTATAAAATGATGACTATAGGCGGAAACAAACTTTATGCACTAAAACAATTGATAGGCTTGATAGCTTTTAATGAATAAACGGCAACAGTAGTTTACGTAGTGTACCTTATATACCCCTAGTTCCAGCGTTTTGTCCTACAGAAACGGTAGTTATAGGGGTTTTGTGGGTGAGGAATTGGGATAGGAAGTGGAATATACG